CGGGAGAAGCTCGGGGCTCTGAGGGTGGCAGGCAGGCTGACCCCCCACCCAACACGTGAACAGACTGCACAAACTGCAGTTGGATCACACACTTAAAAGTAAACAGGCAACCATGAGTGCCACAGGAATTATAGTTCGGTTCCTAAGAGTTACGCCAAGTGAAGAAACCAGAAAGAATGACATTAAAAAACTAATTTTTGTGTCCAAGACACATTGGAAAGGCAATATACAAATTAGGAAAAATATTTGCATCAATATAACCAAGGATTATTAACATTCTTAACGTAATTTTGCTAACCAATGAAGAAATGAGCGAGGAAGAGGGGGAGTCATGCACACACAATTGGCCAATGGAAGCGCAGACGTTCAGCCTCATTGGCAGCAAAGCAGTGCTCACACCCACCCTATTGAAACCCAGAGGCACAGAGCAAAGGTTTTGTCTTTTTCAGTATTTTCTTACTGATTTTTACATAAATGGAGAGGGAGATAGAAACATTGACCAGCTGCCTCCAGGGCACAAGACTGAAACCTGGGCATATGGCCTGACGGGGATCAAACCAGTGATCTCTTGGTTCATGAGTCCACACTCAACCACTGAACTACACCGGCCAGGCAGACTGAAGGGTTCAATATGATACCTCTTCTGAGAAAAACAATTACCTCACTGGTGAGATGGCTCATTTAGAAAATCCCTCCCTAGATGGTGACTTAGCAACGGGAACCAAAAGCCTGACATGGTACAGGCATTTCACAGGAGGAATGCATTCACGTCACCCAAGGACATACATGGAATGTAGTAAGCCTGAGCCACAGGGAAGGTCATCACAGCACAGCTCCCTGAGAGGAAAAACTGAAAGACGCCAGGCATGTCCTCCACAGGCGTGTTTACACTGACAGCCACACAACAGAGCCTCTGCTACAAAAGATGCTTCAAAATCACCACAGCAGCCCGCTTGTTACACGGCAAAGGCGGCAGCACAGAGCTTACGGCACCCCTCCCTGCAGAAAATGCATACGCTGGCGTAGGAAAAACTAGAAGCAAATAGGCCAATTGTTAACGGAAGATTGCTGCTTTTCAATCTTCTTACTTGTAAGCCTTACAATAAACTACTTTTACGCACGAGAACTGAATTACGTTACTTAAAAGAAAGTGAAGGCGGTAGAGTGGAGGCCCGTAGGCAAAGGGGGCAGGGAAGGGGGTGGAGCAGGCGCCCTCCCCCAGGTCCAGGGCACACTCCAGGGGCACCAACTTCCCGTTTCTCCTGTTGCTGCCCTCCCCGTGCCTCTCCAGGCCGCAGCCGAGTATTCTTTTATATATATAATTGACTTTTTACAGAGAGGAAGAGAGAGGGATAGAGTTAGAAACATTGATGAGAGAGAATCATCCATCAGCTGCCTCCTGCACACCCCCTACTGGGGATGTGCCCACAACCAACGTACATGCCCTTGACCGGAATTGAACCCGGGACCTTTCAGTCTGCAGACCGATGCTCTATCCACTGAGCCACACTGGTTCGGCCGCAGCAGAGTATTCTTGTGCAGGAAATATAAACATTCAAAACACACCGCACTGTCTGCAAGCCTGTTGGCATGTCATTTGCAATGACAAGCACTGCTCAAAGCCAGGCCAGCACTTCCTCCAGAGACAGGTGGAGGTCTCTTAACGGGCCCCCCAGGGTGGGTGGGACAGTGATGACCAACGTCTTTCCTGTAACACGTACCACCCCTGTGGTTTAGTGTCCAATCTGGGCACGGAGGAGCCTCAACCACCTTAGGCAATTTTCCTTGTTAAACTTCCAGGTTCAACTTTGCTGTGCTGAGGCCCCATTACTCCTGTTTTGTACCAGATCACCATTTTCTCCTACCCACACCTCTGGGCGCTCAGAGGCAAGCCTGGAAAGGCTGGAATCAGACCCATGCCCAGGATGCAACACTGTCCACACTGTCCCTCCCTGAGCCGAGGGGAACTGAGGGCAGAACAGGCAGGAAGCTCCAGTCCAAAGCCCCTGGCTGGGGGGAGGCCAGAGGACATGAGCACCGCCTTCATGCCCTGTATTGACCAGCCCCGCTTCAAACCTCCCCCGCCGCCAACATTTATTCCCGACGGAGACATCATCTGCCTGCCAGTTGCTAAGTAACAGCACTATTTACAGAGGTATTTATAGCAGTTGCCCTTTAAGGCTGGAACCAAGTTTTGTAATCATCCTATAAAAATAGGAAAGGACAAACACGTTCTGGAAAGAGGACAAAGCAGGTGGAGGAGGGCTGGGGGAAAGGGAAACAAAGGTGGGGGGGGAAGGAGGCCGAGACGGTCCTGGGGTAACAGGAACTGGCGGTGAGCAGGGAAAGGACCCTTGAACCTGCCCACTATGGGGTAACTCCTGACAGAGCAGAGCCCAGATAGGTGGGCACAGTGGCACACACGGGGTAGTGGGGTGGGGGTCACAAGGACAGAGGCGGCAGGCAAAGGAGACACTGAGCCCCCCGGGGACAGCCGCTCTCTGGAATCCCACCCGTTTTGGTCACAGCACGGCAGTACAAGGTGAAATGCTGCTGCCACTCCCCACCCCGGATCCACAATCAGCTTCTAAGCACACCTTGTAGCCAGCTGTTTAGTAATAGCACTTACACAACTAAGCCCAAACTCACATTCACCAAGAGAAAAAAATTAACCCGAAGCCAAACTCTTTAGTAAGATGAGAAGCACGTATGTGCCTAGATCCAAATCCCAGATGCCATCCAGCCTCCCAAAGACCAAATATGGTAAACACTTAGTACACGTCCATTCTATTCTTAGATGCTTCCCGTAAGCAAATGGAAATAGGTCCTCTTGCTGACCACAGCATTTGGAAATGTAACCAGGTAAAATCCCAGGGTATTACAAAGTACTCCCCCAGACACGACCCTGACCTTCACTGAGTGGTTGGCACATTTTTCAAAATCTTTTCATTACACTCCCAAGTGAGCAGAGCCCCGCCCCGCCCCCCAGGCTGCAGGCCCAGCCATCAGGACACAGTTCTATTGAGATTACCATACCCTATCGCATGATCTCAATTACTCAGAGCTGTTGAAAAGTGAATTTTAACTTAAATCTACAATATGAAGATACAGTCAAGGTAATTGTGAAGGCAACTTGGTTTACAGAAAAGATCAAGGTAAAAAAAATATAGCAATACAACGATTCTAATGAGTTTAGAGCTCAAACCTTTATTTGTGCTGAAATGGGGAAGAAAAAATGATTAGTCACATACATGAGGCAACAGTACCAGGTCTTACCCAACTTATTCCCCATACATGCATAATACTCTTTAAATGCCAAGGACAGTCAGTAACTGTGTCATGCCCAAGTCTCTGGTTAAGAACGCAGCTATCTTGCCAACGTATTTTTAAACATTTTTTAAATCCAGAAGACACAGAATCCCAAAGGCAGAAGCACTGGGATTTAAAATATCTAAGGTGAAATTTAAGGGAAAAGCCACCAGCATACTTTGCCAGTAGATGCATCTCAAACACGTGATGTGCCACACCTGGCGAGGCCTCCCGCCTCGTTTTTGTTCTTGCTCCCCAGACTGGTTTTGGCTGAGTTTACCCAGTAGTGCTGGGTCATTTAAAAAGCACAAACTTTCAAACTAAGGATATGATCGATTACCTAACCTTGGCACATGAATTGTTACCAAAAATCACAGTAATTTTACAGAGACCACAAAAGGTTATTTGGTTCCCATTACAATGTAAAGATAACAGTAAGCAAAAACGGTTAATATTGACTACAAAAGAAAAGCAAGTTGTTTATAAGATACAATGTTAACACACAAAATTCCTGTAGAAATCATTTTTCACTTTGCTCAGGATTTCCTATCAGAAAATCGAGTTACAAGCCCAGAAGAGTAACCCCAAAAGCGTATATGTAATCTCAAATGTATCAACAAAATCTCAATAATTTTTTTCAAATTTAAACAATTTAAAAGCCCACAATTTGAACACGGAAAGTCTTTTCTCAGACTCGCCCTCAGTTTCAGAGAAACCCTTAGCAGTGAAGGAGGGAGCACCCTGCTGCACAGTTCTGACACCCGTCTTTCAAGTGACTGACAGGTCTTGGGCCTTGCCCACCTCGCAGCAATGCAAAACAATTTTGCTTTTTCCTCTGCACTGAGCTCAAAGTGCTTTACAAAGTTCCCAATGAACTTTTGTGCTTTCCAAGCAACAGTTCAACCAGCATGAACAATTTACAATATTTAGTATTTTCTTTACCCCGGAGCCCTCCCCTCTGATGTTTTCTCAAGAAAACCCCTCAACCCACGTTCCCTACCACCCTCACCCTCTGCAATATAACCACTCCCCTCTCTGTATTCCCACCCACCCCTCCCAGTACCAAGCTGCCCTCCCTTTCCCCCAGAGAATCCCTTCCCCTACAGCCCCACCCTCTGCCATAGAGCTAATATAATAACCCCTCTTCCCTTCCTTCATCTCCTCCTCCCCCAATATCAGTGCCCTTTCCCTTACAACCCTCTCCCCCTCAGACTCCTCCCATTTGAATACCAAGATTATTTTGAAATCCACTCAGGCAAGTTAAAAAACAGCAAGATGAACCAAATACCACCTCCAGTACCCGCCCATTCCCCTGGGTACCCTGCGAGGCAATGGAAATGCCCAAACTACACCTGCCATTTCTGACAGAACTTGGGCATGACCGACTTGTACCCCACCAGACTGCAGCACAACCCAACCACCCCACCCCAACTTGCTTCTTCCAGGCCTTTCTAAGGCACTTCAAACTTGAACATTCCCCACAGTTCCACCATCACACTAATTCCTCCGACCAAAGCACAGGTTGGTGGGTGGGTGGGCGAGAGGATCACTGGGCTCCATCTGCAAGTTCCATCTACAAGGCATCACTCTGCGTTGCGACATCAACGTTAATATGTTCTACAGCTTAAGAATCTTCTGGAAGCAAGGTTCGTAGCAGAGAACTAGCATGAAAAGGAGGCTCAATATAGAAGATGCAGCATCTGAAAACCACCCCAAAAAAAGGAGGGGTGCCTGGTGGCATGCACATGCCCGGGGGTTGGTGCTCCAAGATCAAAAAGCAAATAAACGCATCTGCTGGTGGCTCGGATGCATCTGCCTCGGACTTTACGATCGCCCCCTCAGCAGCTCATCTGAAACCCTTAAAGGATGGCCGCCTGCACACGGGCTTCCCGAACAAGGCCTGGAGACATGCCCGCGGAGAACTTCCTCCTCCTAAGACTGGAAATGCAATCTGCAGCCATCAACTTAGGCGAGCTCTCTCCTCCAGGGCCTCCCCTGCGGCTCTGCCTCGCCTCACACTGGCCTGGGCCTCCATGTCTCCTGGTGCCATCTGGTCGCCGAGACGAACACTCTGGTAACAAACCACGGTCCATGAGGCCCCCGTGTGCCTCTCAGCTGGTACCAGCGCTGCGGGCCCAGCCAAGGGTGCACGTTCAACCCCACCTTCTCCACCGGCAAGCAACCCACTCGCCCCACCCCAACCTCTCGGTCAAGGTTACCAGCAATACCGACTCCAACAGGGACGTGACGACGTCCCGGGCTTACCAGGTTACCAGAAGCAAGGCCTAAGTGAAGGGATAACCTTGAGAGTTAAAGGGAGGAGGAGGGGCAGAGGAGTCACAGGAGAACCTAGAGGGAGTCCAGAGGGGAGCTCTGCCACCTGGAAAACAAAGCGGGGTCAGCGCTGTCCACACACCCGGCCTCTGCTCAGCAGCCGTGAGACACCTTACCAGCCACCGCACCTACTCCTCCATCTCACTCCTGCACCACCCTCACTGCGACCCGGGCCTGCCTCACCCAGACCCGGGCTCCGCCGGCCGGGCCCGTTACATACCACCCTGGGCCCGAGCCGTCAGCCCTCGAGGCCAAGTTCAATTTCCACAAGACCAGGCCTCCTCTCCGCCCGGGCGAGCTCACACCCTGGCCTGGAAGAAAAGGGGCTGCTGGTGACAAGGTCAAGGTCAGCCCTCCCAGCCTTCCTCCCTTCCTCAGCACTCAGGGCACCCACTCCCCGACCCCCGGGCCTCCAGCGGGGTGGCGAGACCCCGTCTCCTCCAGCTCATCCTCTGCCTCCCTCCAGCCGGGCGCTGCGGCTCAGCCCACGGGGCCTCTCTCTCCTGAGGCCGGGCCCCTCGCCCGCAGGCAGCGGCGAGGCCTGGCCTCCCCCGTGGCTGCGGCTCCTGTCAACGAAGCTTTCCCCAGATCTACCCTCCCCCTTGGCCTTCCTCCTCCTGGGACCCCGAGGGCCCCAGCCTCGTCTAACTCTGCCATCGCCCTCCTCTGCTCCCTAAGGCTCCCCTAGAGCTTCCCCTAACCCTAAGGCTCCCCTAAAGCTTCCCCCTAAGGATCCCCTAACCGTAAGGCTCCCCCTAAAGCTTCCCCCCTAAGGGTACTGTAACCCTAAGGCTCCCCTAGAGCTTCCCCCTAAGGCTCCCCTAACCCTAAGGCTCCCCTAAGGCCCCCTCAGGCCCTAAGCTGGCCACTCCGCCCCAAACCACTGGCCCGCGCGACCCTCCCTGGCTACCTCCTGCCGGACAGGCCGCAACTTTGGCGCTTTTATAGCCGGGCCGCGTCACCGAGCCCCGCTCAGCGGGACGATTCCTCCGCCGCCCCCGGAAATAGTCCGCCCGCCCCGCCCGCCCCGCCCGCGTGCTGGCCTCCGGGGCCTCCGCCCTCGGCCGAGACCCGCAGGCCTCAGGGTCACACCGGGGGCGGGTTCCCGGGGGTGAGTCCCCTTCCCCCCCAGAGGTGGTGGGGGTCCCGGCCACCGGCCCCCCTGAGAGAGGAGGGGGTGAGAGGCGCGGGGCGTCCGGTCCCTCGGGGTCGCCTCAGGTCACCCCGCCCCGAAGAGGCCGAAAGAAGGGCCGGCCAGGCGTCTGGAAAATTCCAGGCGGCGGAGGGATCTCTGCGGAGCCGCGTCACCCGGGGCGGCAGCGCGTGACTGTGACTCGGCGGGCGGCGGCCGGGCCTCGTGAGCGCGCTGACGTCAGCGCCGCGGCCCGGGGGGCGGGGCGGGCCTGGGGGATGGGGTGCCGGCAGCCCGCCGCCCTCTGAGCCGCACCCATGGCCGTGCTGACCGGCGTCCCCGGATAAGAAACCCAGATGTGATTTTATTTTTTAAATGGTTAGGCTACAAGAAACAAAAATAAAAAAATAAACGGTTAGGCTACATTTAACTAAAAAAGGAGAAAGGAAAAAAATAATGGTTGGGAGCAAATGGGTCTGAAAGTTCAGCCCCGAGTTGCCACAGTAGCTCAGAGGCGTGCGTCACGGCTGTGCTGTGCTGTTGCCAGGGGCTGGGAGTTTGGAGTGTTTCATAAGGAAAGCTCTTCCTGCCCGGGTGGAATACGTACTTGCTATGTTTTAAGTGGAAAATGCCAGATGCAGAGGAATAAATTAAGATCTCATTGGGGCATAAAACAGTATCTGTAATTGCGTGGCAACGAGACCAAAAGGGTAATTCAACCCATTTTATTTCTGGATTGGGAGGTGGGAGAAAAGGAACATTAAAAAAAAAAAAAAAAAAAAAAACACCCTAATGTGCCCAGGGCTGTTTACAGCCTGTGGGGGACCTCAGGGCGCCGGTTTGGTGCCCACCTGGGGCACTGCCTGCTGGCCGCCAGCATGGAGCAAGCCCCCAGCCTGGGTCTCCTAACGCAGAGGCACAAAAGGGTGAGCTCTGTCCCCTCCCCAAGGCTGGGCAGGTCCTGAGGGCTCGGTGAGGATTTTGGGAAGGTACCTCCTAGGCACCAACTTTGTGGGACCAGAGTGAGGAGGAGGAGCCACAGCCTGCGACCCCTGTGTGGCCCAGGTCTGGCCCCCTGAAGTACAGGGTGGAAAGAGGACAGCCATCAGAATAGGCAGAACTGAGAATGTTCTCTGGGCCACGGCCAGAAGTCTCCTCCAGAGGAACCACCCACACCCCAAACAAAACCGTCTCTGACAACAAGCCCCTCGGCAACCAGGAGGAAACTGGGGCAGATTCCCCACCCCCACCCCTGTCTCTGCAAGATGGCGTCTGCAGGCGGGCTGGGCCCGCCCAGTGGTTCTCGGAAAACTGATGAATCTCCTGTGACCTCGGCCCACAAGGTTGAGTGCAACAGGCCCCGGCCTGCTCTCCCTGCTCCTCAGCTAGGCTCCCTGCCAGGGAGATCCCGGCAGCTCACCCTCTGCCAAGGTCTTGTCCTGGCAGCATGTCCACGGGTGGGCTGGGGAGCCATGGCTTGAAAGAACAGTGTGGAAGGAGGGAATTGCCTGTCAGAATGTTCTGGAAAGCTAGGAGGTATGTGTAACGCCAAGCAAGTGCCTGCCTTCCCTGCCGTGTCAGCCCAGGCTGGGAGTCAGCCCTTTATTTACCACCAGGCGCCAGAGAGGCGGTCACAGCCATGGCAGCTGCCGCGCCCCCCTCCCCCCCATGCCTGTGTTCTCCACCTCGACTCTAAAACCCCCAATCATCCCCAAGTCCCGAACCGTCTTGGATTTTATTCTTCCAAAGAGCAGGAGGAGGTGGGATTGGCCTCACACTAAGCATTAGCATTCTCCAAGGCTTAGAACGCCATCATGAAGGGACCAGGCCCCTCCTTTGTGTCCGTGCTGGAGCCGCCCAGCCGCCCATTGTCAAGGACGAAGCAGCAGCTTCAGAGGACCCTGTGGAGAGCTCTCCGGGCCTCCCAGTCGCGCAAGGCCGCCTTCTTTTGGGAAAGGAATGTGTCTGAGAGGAAGCGAGGACAGAGAGCCGCACAGGGACGCTCTGTCCTGCCCAGGGAGAGGACAGCGGGCAGCAGCTCCCCGAGTGCAGGACCCGCATCAAACCTCTGCCCCTTTCTCCGCAAATAAGGCCAAGGTCCCTCAGCCCGGGGGAGGGCAGGGCAGGGCGGAGTGTGTCAGCAGATTTCTCTAGATCAAAACAAGCTGTTCCCGGAAACCAGCTGCAGTAAACAGCCTGGGTGCGGTGGGGTGGGTGGAGGTGGGCCCGCCCTGCCGGCCGTTGGCTCAGAGGCCGCCTTCCTGGCAGCCCTCGGGCCCCGGCTGGGGGAGGGAGGAGTGGGGGAGGGCCTCTCCGGCAGCCTCCGACTTCATGGTCAGCGCTCAGCCTGTCCTTCCTCACGGCCAGGGCGCCTCCCCTCCCCACTCGTTCTGAAGTCAGCCCAGCTCTGCTGTTCCCAAACACACAGCCCAGGAGAGGGCCCAGGTTCCCCGGGAAGAGGAGAGAGGGCGGGAGAGGGTTCTCCTTCACACCAAGGGCAGGACAAGGGCAGGGTGAACTCCCCCCGCCCCCCGTGGGCCGGTCCCCGCGCTGTGGCCTAGGCCCCTGGGCGGCCTCCCCACAGGGACCCTCAGCGGGCGGCCTCCCCACAAGGGCCCTCAGCGGGCGGCCTCCCCACAGGGACCCTCAGCGGGCGGCTCCTCACAGGGACCCTCAGGGGGCGGCCTCCTCAGGGACCCTCAGCGGGCGGCCTCCCCACAGGGACCCTCAGCGGGCGGCTCCCCACAGGGGCCCTCAGCGGGCGGCTCCCCACAGGGGCCCTCAGCGGGCGGCCTCCCCACAGGGGCCCTCAGTGGGCGGCCTCCCCACAGGGGCCCTCAGCGGGCAGCCTCCTCAGGGACCCTCAGTGGGCGGCCTCCCCACAGGGACCCTCAGCGGGCGGCTCCTCACAGGGACCCTCAGGGGGCGGCCTCCTCAGGGACCCTCAGCGGGCGGCCTCCCCACAGGGACCCTCAGCGGGCGGCTCCCCACAGGGGCCCTCAGCGGGCGGCTCCCCACAGGGGCCCTCAGCGGGCGGCCTCCCCACAGGGGCCCTCAGCGGGCAGCCTCCTCAGGGACCCTCAGTGGGCGGCCTCCCCACAGGGACCCTCAGCGGGCGGCTCCTCACAGGGACCCTCAGGGGGCGGCCTCCTCAGGGACCCTCAGGGGGCAGCCTCCCCACAGGGACCCTCAGCGGGCGGCTCCCCACAGGGACCCTCAGCGGGCGGCCTCCCCACAGGGACCCTCAGCGGGCGGCCTCCTCAGGGACCCTCAGCGGGCGGCCCCCCCACAGGGACCCTCAGCGGGCGGCCTCCTCAGGGACCCTCAGCGGGCGGCCCCCCCACAGGGACCCTCAGCAGGCGGCTCCCCCACAGGGACCCTCAGCAGGCGGCCTCCCCACAGGGACCCTCAGCGGGCGGCCCCTCTGAGCCGAAGGCCTCCCCAGTCTCAGGGCCTGAGAGGAAACCGCACAGTCACCCATGCTGGCTGCTGGCCAAGCCCTTCCTGCCTGCTGCCGCCCAGCAGCTCACGCAGAACAGCCACCAGCGCCCACACTGGCCCCCCCAGCCCTACACCGGCTCCCGGGGCCCACACCAGCCCCGGGCGCCCACA